GTCACTCTTAATTAAAGGACTGACAAGTACCAAAGCCTTCCTGAGATACTCAAGGCAAAGGGAAATGAGGCTGATGTGTCGGCACATGGTTAACAGGGACACTAGCCACTGTTTAACAGGAGAGTTTACAGAAGGGAACTTAGTGGCTTTAGAGGCTCCTAATAAACTAGACTGCATCTTTATAGCTTTGGGGCTCACTTTATTATATAATAGATGAAACTATTAGTTAATTCTGTCAAACCAGAGAAAAATAAAGAATCATGGTGATAACAGAGATATCATTAACAATATCAATAACACATTCCTTTCCTGCCTTCATTCCCTTTGACGTTCTCCCTTCTACTTTCTGAAAACAGCCTTCTTGGTAAAAGTCAATTAATTATGAAAATTCCATATGATAGAAACCTCTACCAAGAATTTAGAAGGCTTAAAAAAACTTAAATTAATCTAATCTCTGAAAAACTCTATTGAAAACCCATGATGTTAATAAAAGTACAATCTTTCTGTGTTTTTGGAATCTTAGAAGCAATAAAGGGGTTTAGACTCATGTGGTTGAGCAACTGTCTTTTGGAAGCATATGAATTCTAGGCAGAGAGGTGGGAAATGGGTGGGTCTCTAAGAATGGTGGTGAGTATCACTTCACTTTCTTACAGTGGGGAAATGGGGGTATTTGTACAGATTCTAAATGTATATATTCTTAGTGTTTTTCAAAGGGAAAGGACTAATTTTCAAAACTTTCAACATGGAGGAGAGATCCTAATGGTCAAACTAACTAGTATTAATCTCCTCATAGGCCAAAGAGAAAACCAACCTTTATGCATCTGGGAAAGAAGAACATCTTTAAAAACACAGTATACTCCAAATAACAAAATTAAAAAGATATGCTTTTGCTAGAGGAAAAAAAATCTAACATAGCATGTATTAAAATGTTTTCTTTTCTTTTTCTTTCTTTTTTGTTTGCTTGACTTTCTTTAACCTAAGGCTATGAAATGCTTTTGCTCCATATCAAAATTAACAAGCAAATTTTTCTTTTGTATTTTGACAAATATTTTCATTTCTAAGATGAGAACCCTTTGGCCTTTGGTTAACAAATAGATGACCAGATCTACAGGCAGTACAGAAAAATATCAGTTTGTTCTAGAAGCAATTATATATACAGTATAGGAAAAGCCCAATTTTTCTATGCAAGGACCACACATACTGTGTGTTTGTTATATTTTTGGTATCAAAGCAGAAACATCATTTTTTTTTCTTAAAACACACATGAAATGAAGACCTTGGCTAAGAAACGCCCACATCCAATTCAGATATCTGTTACAGCTTACAGAACTTGGCAATGCTGAAGTGACTGTTTCACCAGAAAGGGAAATTCAGTTACTAGGTAACACACTATGATTTCTTTAACTTTTATACATTGAGTGAAATACACATGATTTTTTTTATCCCACTTATTGTTAATAGAAGTGTATTGTCAGTGTATGGCACTTAGATAGCACATCTTCAAAGTCATAGCAAGAAGGATTTGCTGATCCTTTGTCACTAGATGACTAGAAAATATTTAATCAGGTCTCAAGATCATTATTATAACTTCAGAGAGGGTGGTCTACTGCATAAACTACTGTCTCTGTTTCACTTTGCAGCATTATGATGTTGCTGTGATGACTTTCATTTCTGTTTAGTATTCACATACTGTCTCCACTCAGTACAAACACAGCATCAGGAATATAGAGCTAAATGGGGTTTGGCCCTTAGAGAAATATAATCTTGGGTTGGAGAGGGAGAAAGGGTAGTGTGTACTATATTTTATATACCATACTTACATAAGGAAAGAAGGAAGGAAAAAGGAAAGAAGGGAGGGAGGGAGGGAGGAAAGAAGAGAGGAGAGAAAGAAAGAGGAAAAATAATTTGGCATGTGGTAGACAAGCGATGGTCAGGCTGGTGAAATTTGCAATCACCTTTGAATGAAGAGGGGTAGTTCCTTGGGTGGATTAGGAGTTTGGGTCCTCCAGGAATAGAGAACATGAAAAAGCCATGACAGTGTGAGAGATCAGAGGACTGCAACCATTTGCTTTTCCTAGAACCTATCTGTGTATGCAGAATGAGCCGGGAGAAGAAGGGAGGGCCATACAAGGAAGGGCTCTGCATACTAAGAAAGGAATTTAAACTTTATACTGCAGGGCATGTTTTTACATTTTAGTCCCCAAATACTCTAAAGATAAAATAATTAAAACAGTATGATACTGACATAGAGATAATTAATGAAACAGAACAGGAAATGGAGAAACAATAGAAACTCTAGATGATGCTATATGCAGAAGTGTAATATGTGAAAAGTAGCATTTTCAATTCATGAGTAAAGGATGGATTTTTCAACAAGTGGTGTTTGGACAATTGACTAATCATTTCAAAATGAAATTTAATTCCTGTATATCAAGCTGTACATTTTTTTTAAAATTCTGGAATAAATTAAAGATTTAAATGTAAAAAACAAAAACAAAAAAAAAAGAAGAAAATATTTGTAACCTTGGGGTTAGAGACTGTTTTGTTTTTATTTTAGTGTGACATCAGACAGTTCAAAGGACTGATAGGATCACATGTAAGTTTTCAAAAGTCAAACTTCTGAAAGGATAAGTAAGACACTACAGTTGTAAGCAAATGACAAGTTAGGAAAATGTTTGCAATCTATGTAACAGTCAAAGAATTTATTTCTGTAATATATATTAAGTTCCTACATATCAATTTAAAAACTAACCTGAGAGAAATAGTGAAGAACACAAATTGGCAAGAATTGAAAGAAATGATACCTCATGATAAAAAAAGTATGCTCAATGCCAGTGACAATAAGAGGAACACAATTAAGACAGTTTCATTTTTAGTTTGTCAGATGGTCAGCAGGAGATACATGTCAGGGAAAGATATCACACATAATGATTAATAATGTCCCATGTTTGAGAGAGCATGGAGCAATATGAACTCTCAAATACTGAGTATAAAATCAGTACATACTTTTTGGAAGGTAATTTGTCAGCATCTATAATACAATGTGTGCATATAATTTGATCCTAGAGATCCATAGCTAGCAACTTATTTTATATAAATGTGTAAATATAAAATATACTTAAAATATAAATACCATATTTAAAAATATATTTCTAAAATTCAAGTATATGTATGTGAGTGTGTGTGTGTGTGTGTGTGCACCAGTGCGCAAAGACAGTATGAGACAACATTGTACTGGTGTTTATACTAGCAAAAATCTGGAAACAACATAAAAATCCACCAAAGGGATTACTTTAATAAATTGTAGCTCACAGATAAATAATTATGTTGTTGTTAAAAAGAATATACTGACATGGAAATATATCCATGAGATAGGATTACTTGAAATAAATGATTATCAGAATAGCACTTATAGTATAATTTGGCAAGAGAGGTAGTGACTACAGTGATTAAAAGCAAGGATTTTGGGTCAACTGACTTAAATTTGGTTTAAAAGTGGTTTCCACCACTTATCAGATAAGTAAAAATGACTAGCTTCTCTAAATCTTGGTTTCTTTATCTGTCCAACTGGAAAGGTACATAGCTCAACATTGTAGGGAGAATTCCTAGCACATAAGGAGGCTAAAAATATGCTAGTTATTATTATTACTAAGAAAATTTTGAATAATTATCATTTTAAAGATCTTTAAATAAAAACAACTTTCAAAAGCAAATGTAATATGTTTAGTATTATAAAATATAATTTAAAAATTATACAGTACAATGTTTAACTGTGTTGTATAAGAAATTTTAGCTTATGTGAGCAATATATTCTATTTATTTGATCATTTACCAGATATGATAATGACTTTGATGCATCAGTTTTTGACAAATCTTTTTAAATTTTTATTATGAATTTACTATGAAATTCTACTGACTATAGAATCTGTAGATATTATAGAGAACAGAAGATATACATATATATATATATATATATATTTACTTTTTCTAGAGTATTTATTTATTATTTATTTTATTTAAGTAAAATAATAAATCAAAAGTTTATGATCTGTTAAAACATTCATTATTCCATTAGACCTTAAGGTCTTTTATATATGTTTAATTTTATTGGTACATTATAGTTGTACATAATAGTTGGGTTCATTTTGACATAATTATACATGCATGAAATTTTATTTACTCCATTTTAGTCTCTAGTGCTTCCCTCCTCCCTATCTCTATCCTCCTCCTTCTATTCTACTGGTCTACCTTGCACTCATTTATGTATTTTTAATTGGTTCTTTGTAGGTATAAAAGAAGGTGGAATTCACTGCAGTATGTTTACACATGCATACAGAATAATTTGTCAAATCCATTCTGCATTTCTTCCCCTTTCCCTTCCCTCCTCTCTCCCTCTCACTGTCCTTCTACACAGCTGGTCTTCCCCCTCTGTCTTTATGATATCCTGCCCCACCTTTTTCCCCCTTACTGTGCTCTAGCTTCCACATGAGAATATTTGACCCTTGATTTTGAGTTGACACAGATTTGTTTTGATTGCATATTTATAAATCTTGTGCAAACAAGGAATGCATTTGTATATTATATCTAAATACCAATATAAATAACTGTTAATTTTAGATGGTCTCCATTATGAGAAGTTTTAAAAGCTTTAATAAAATAAATTAGAAATTGTCCTCTAGTCATTAAATTGGTCATTAAATTGGTTATTAATATTCTTTTGGTAGTAATTATTATTAATTATTAATATTTTTGGTAGTAATTATATACACATATAATATAATATACACATATATTATATTACATACATATAATCATATTATATACATGTTCAGTTTTTAATCATCTCAGGAAAAACATAATGAAATAGGAAGGCACACTTTTAAGTATGTTTTCCCTAAAAAACTATGAAAATAAACCATTGAAAATGAGGAAACATGTTAAATAGAAATACATTAAAAAGTCTGTGTCAACATAGTCTGTACAGGAAAAATAATACATACCCTTCTGTTTGGAAGATCATACGAAAGCTGTCCCCTAAGCTTTTATAACTGTTTGGATCAGTTGCATATCTCTGAATCTGGAACCTAGGAACAAAATCAATCAACAACAAGAAAAAAGAATCCAAGTTAAGGATTTTACCAAATGACTTTTCTCATTTTTCAAAGTCTTAGAAACTCAGCCTTTTCAGATTAATTTAACATATTCTGGTCTTTGCTATAGATTTTATTGATTTATTTGCCTTATATAAGTTTGACCTTATTTTTGTAGCATTTAATATTATATTTCTTTGTACTTTAATAGGAACTATAGAAAAAGACTTTTTTCATCTGTTTCTTAGCTAGGCAGATGCACCCTGAGGCATTTATACTTTTTTCTTTTGTGTAAAGCATATGCAGATGTCATGTATTGCTTTAATGTATAATTCAGAAATCTGAAGATGTGAATGAAACAAATAACTCTAATTCTTATTTAAATTAGCGTTCTTTGATGATGATTTAATGTAAGGTTTGAAAATTCAGACTAACTAATAATTCTAAGTTAACAAAAAGGAGCCAAACTAATATGTCCTAATTTGGCTCCTTTTTGTAAACTTAGAATTAATTTTGGGAAAAGAAGCCTATGACTGGAGTGAGAGCTGGGATTGTATGTTGGTCTTATATTTCTTTTCTTTACTTTTCAAATTTTGTTCTAATTAATTATACGTAACAGCAGAATGCATTTTGATACATCATATATAAATGAAGTATAATTTCTCATTTTTCTGGTTGTATACGATGTAGAATACCACCAGTCATAAGTTACATATGTACATAGGATAATAATGTCTGATTCATTCTATTAACCTTCCTAGCCTCATAGCCCCTCCCCTCCCTTCACTGTATCTAATCTAAAGTAACTCTATTCCTCCCTAACCCCTCCCTTATTGTGAATTAGCATCTACATATCAGAGAAAACATTCTACCTTTGGTTTTTTGGGATTGGCTTATTTCACTTAGCATGATATTCTACAGCTTCACTCATTTACTGACATATGCCATTATTTCATTCTTTAAAGCTAAGCAATACTCCATTGTGTGTGTGTGTGTGGGGGGGGTGTATGTATCACATTTTATTTATCCATCTGTAGAAGAGCACCTAGGTTGGTTCCATAGTTTAGTTATAGTGAATTGAACTGCTTTAAACATCAATATAGTTCTGTCACTGTAGTATTCTGATTTTTAAGTCCTTTGGGCATAAACCAAGGAGTGGGATAGCTGGGTCAAATGGTGGTTCCATTTCAAGTTTTCTGAGGAATCTCCATACCGCTTTCCATAATGATTGCACAAATTTAAATTTCCACCAGCAATGTATGAGTGAACATTTTCCCCACATCCTCACCATCTTTCTTGTTGTTTGAATTCTTTTTTTTTGTCATGACTTTGATTTGCATATTATTCTGTATCAATCCCCTACATAGTTTTGTTGTTGTTTATATTCTTGATAATTGCCATTCTGACTGGGGTGAAATGAAATCTTAGAGTGATTTTGATTTTCATTTTTCTAACTGCTAAATATAGTGAACATTTTTCCATACATTTGTTGATCAATTGTATTACTTCTTCTGTGAAGTGCCTTGCCCACCATACTTTTGGTGTTAAAATCCTTTGAGTTCTTTATATATCCTGGAGATTCATGCTCTATCTAAGGTGCATGTGGTAAAGATTTTCTCCCAATTTGTAGGCTCTCTCTTTATGTTATTGATTGCTTCCTTTGCTGAGAAGAAGCTTTTTAGTTTGAATCCAACCCATGTATTGATTCTTGATTTTACTTCTGTTCTTCAGGAGTCTTTTAAGAAAGTCAGATCATAGGCTGATATGGTGAAGATTTGAGCCTATATTTTCTTCTATTAGGCACAGGATCTCTGTTCTAGTGCTTAAGTCTTTAATCCACTTTGAGTTGAGTTTTGTGCAGGGTGAGAGATAGAGGTTTAATTTCATTCTTCTACATACAGATTTCCAGTTTTCCCAGCACGATTTGTTGAAGAAACTTTCTTTTCTCCAATTAATTTTTTTGGCACCTTTGTCTAGTAGGACTGTATGCATGTGGATTTGTCTCTGGGTCTTCTTTTCTGTACAATTGGTCTATGTATCTGTTTTGGTGCCAATACCATGCAATTTTTGTTACCATAGCTCTGTAGTATAGTTTAAGGTCTGGTATTGTCATGTCTCCTTCTTCACTTTTCTTGCTAAGGATTGCTTTGGCTATTCTGGGCCTCTTATTTTTCCAAATGAATTTTATGACTGCTTTTTCTACTTATGTGAAGAACATCATTGGAATTTCAATAGGAATTGTGTTAAATATGTGCAGCGCTTTTGGTAGTATGGCCATTTTGACAATATTAATTCTGCCTATCCAAGATCTTAGGAGAGCTTTCCATGTTCTAAGGTCTTCTTAAATTTCTTTATTTAGTGTTCTATAGTTTTAATTGTAGAGGTCTTTCACATCTTTTGATAGATTGATTTACAAGTATTTTTTTAAACTACTGTGAATGGGATAGTTTTCCCAATTTTTCTTTCAGTTGATTCATCATTGGTATAAATCCATGCATAGCAGAATGAAATTTAACACCTATATCTCACCATGCACAAAACTTGACATGAAGTGTATCAAGGACTTAGGGATTTGACCAGAAGTGTTTCAAGGACTTAGGGATTTGCCTACTAGAAGAAAATATAGGCCCAACTCTCCATCATGCCAGCTTAGGAACTGACTTCTTCAACAAGACTCCTAAAGTGCAAGAAGTAAAATAAAAAATCAATAAATGGGATGGAGTCAAACCAAAAAGCTTCTTCACAGCAAAGGAAACAATCAAGAACTCGAAGAGACAGCTTACATGATAGGAGAAAATCTTTGCTACCTGCTCCTCATATAGAACATTAATCTTCCAGATATATAAAGAACTCAAAAAACACCACAAACAAATAACCCAATCAATAAATGGGAAAAGGAACTGAACAGGCACTTCAGAGAAGAAATACAAACAGTCAACAAATATCCAAAAAATGTTCAACATCTCTACCAATTAGAGAAATGCAAATTAAAACTACACTGATATTCCATCTTACTCCAGTCAGAATGACAATTATCAAGAATACAAGTAACAATAAAAGTTGATGAGAATGTGAAGGGAATGTTCACTCATACATTGCTAGTGGGACTTCAAACTGGTACAACCACTCTGGAAAGCAGTATGGAAATTCCTCAGAAAAGTTGGAATAAAACCACCATTTGATCCAACTATCCCATTTCTTGGTTTATACCCAAAGGACTTAAAATCAGCATACTACAGTGACACAGCCACATCAATGTTTATAGCAGCTCAATTCAAAATAGTTAAACTATGGAACCGATCTAGGTGCCCTTCAACAGATGAATGGATAAAGAAATGTGGTATATATATATATATATATATATATATATATATATATATATATATATATATATATATAATGGACTATGACTCAGCCATAAAGAAGAATGAAATTATAGCATTCTCTAGTAAATGGATGGAACTGGAAACTATCATGCTAAGCGAAATAAGCCAATCCCAAAAACCAAAGGCCAAATGTTCTCTCTAATATGCAGATGCTAATACACAATAAGATGGGGGGAGGAGGGAAGAACAGAAATTCATTGGATTAAACAAAGGGGAACAAAAGGAAGAGAGGGGGAAGGGAATGGGAAAAACAATAGAATGAATCAGAAGTAACTTTCCTATGTTCATATATAAATATGTGACTAGTAAAACTCTAAATCATGTACAGCCACAAGAATGGGATCCTAATTAGAATAAGGTATACTCCATGTATATATAATGTGTCAAAATACACTATACTGTCATGTATATCTAAAAAGAACAAATTAAAAAATGTAAGTTGTACATAGCTTATCAGAAGACCATGGGCCATTGCAACTAGCTCATTTTAACTGTTTTGGATCCAGAGATGCATTTTGTGTATATCTCACTGACCTGACTCAGTAGGAGGTTTCGTCTAGAATAAAAACAAAATTTGATGGTCAGTTAGATATACTTTGTTTGGTATTTCTGAATTATAACATATAAATGAGATGACTTGGTACTTTGGATACAAATGAATTAACACTAACCAGAAATTAACACAATAGGAGAATCACATATAGGTTTATATAACAAATAACTGTGGAATATATAGAGCAATTTCCAAAATATGACTTTGTTTCAGCTCAAATAAGCATCTCCATCTCTGCCTTTGTGTATCTGTAACCTTACTCATTGCTAACTATGAAACACTTTCTCATGTCTACTCGGGAAATCCAAGACTCTTTTGTAATTGTTCCCGTAAGGAAATTATTTAACATACTTTCATAAATTATAAAAGTATTATAGGCACATAGATGTTTCTCATAATATCTCCAATAATCTTTCATTAAGTACATTTACCTCAGTCAAATTCCTTTCTAGATGCTTTTCTTCCAAATTACCAAGTATTTTCCTAATGTGTGCCATATGATATAAGATGCTATAGGTTTTACAAAAATCCAGGCCATTATGTCCCTTTTAAGTAGTATAGGAAAAAATATGAGAAAAAATAATTGACAATATAAGAGAAAACACCAGAAATGTTAAGTAGCATGGGCACTGGGTTGTCCAGGTGTTCATGGGGTGGAGGGATAATTACTGTTTACTGCGGAGGGTCAGGAAGGGTTTCAGGAAAGGGAAGGCATTTGAGCTGGTCCTTGTGGGATTCAGAGAGGCAAAAAGAGCAGACCAGGAGGAAGCATTCCAGGTGCTGAAAGGAACAAAGGCCAGTGAAGGAAAGCTGCCCCTTCTCATGGGGAGTGAAGAAAAAGACTTTCCCCCATAGCAGCCCCATCTGGATTTCCTTCAGAAAGATGTTCCATTTCTCTGCTTGCTGCACATGCTTGGTTGCTCATGGTGGTGGAGACCTGAGCTGTTTAGAGGAGGGTGCTTAGGTGATAAAGTCAAAGGTCAGTATTGAACATTTGACCTTTTTCTGTCCTAAGCTGAATGCTTCAGCTACCTCTGGGTGGCCATCTCAGAGTC